GTTGTCGACCAAATACTTGTGGTTTGTGTTGAAGAATATTCTGCAGACTATGACAACATAACTCCATTTGAATGTAATACACTTTTTCATCGTTCCATTGCCTCATATATTGGACACAATATTCTGACCTAACTTTTATCAATTTTTGTATTTCTTGCATACATTCCGACAAATTTTGGTTATCTGTAAAAATATATTTTAATACAGTACTCCTATAATAAATAAATGCAATACATTTAATTACATTCAAATTTTATTTTCTTAACCGCATATTCTCGTCCATCATATTTCAATTTAACAACAAATACTTCCCCAAAAGCTCCCGAACCTAATGAATGCAACTCTTCGTACAAACGGTTGTATTCATTCACTTCGGAAACAACTATAAAACAAATTAAATTAATTAATTTATTTATTTATTCATTTATTCAGGTTTGTTAAATGTTTGTTTGTTATGTCATTCAAAGGTACTCAGAGAAGGGGTATAATTCAAAAGCTTACTATATAATAAATTTAATTAATTATTAGTTTTTCATATTTAAAATTAAAATAATTTGTTTAGAAAGCTGAATTGTTTGAAAGTTCATCAAATTGACACAAAGAGACAATTGTAAAATGTACTAGTTGATTAAAATAAACTAATTCAAGAACATTTTTAGAATAATATTGCATATTGGATTTACTGCAAAACTTAATGCAAGTTATTACTCAATTGAGATCAAATCAAATGAAACGCGCTTATCATGAACGGGCAATAATAATACAATGGTATTCGGTCATTTGTTCTACGGGACATTTGACCTACAAATTCAAACACGTTATTTATGGATGTAAACATTTTTAGGTAAGGTTAGGTTAGGTAAGGAATTCAAAAATAACGTTTAAAAACAAATTCGTCCATAAATAACGTAGATATTTAGAGACGTACTTTATGAAAATTTTTGAAAAAGTTTATTTTTTGTTCCTAAGTTGCATGAGGATAAGATTTCAATTTTGAACACTTGTAAGTCAAATGTCCCGAGACCTAATACAATACTATCGATAACAATGTTTTAGTCGTGAATTCTGACTCAATGTACGTACTCTATGAATGACACCTAAAACCAATTCATACCATTGTTTGATAACTTGTTTATAGAAGAAAATAATTTTTCCAAATAATCCAAACATTTTGCACGAAATTCTTCACAATTCTTATAATTATATTCATTATATTCACACAAATTAATGGTTTTATGAGTCATTTGTAACTCTTTTGTGAAACAGTCGAAGAAATTTGTATAAATTGTTTCAAATATAACGTTTGTTTTGTCTGTAATATTATATAATTTTCCATTCATTATAACACTAAACATAAACCTGGAAACCTTAAGTATGAAAATTAAATTCATTTCTTTAATCCTCTTATCATTATTTAATAATTTTGGTGACAATTGTAACAGATATTTGTTGTTTTCATTCCTATATTGTCCACAAAAATAAATGAACCCATCGTTTGATAAGAAGAAAGTGATGCCACTACCGGAACAGATAGTCTTAATACCAGTCATGTTTGCAATGAGTTGTGGTTTCCATATATTATCCGATGAATTGTGTCCCAAATTATACCAATCATTTCGACCCCAACTAAACACCTGTCCATTGGATGTGATGGCAAATGATGAGTATTCACTGCAATAAATGCTTTTAATTTCGTGATTAGGATTGAAATTGACTCGAATTGTTTCTCTATTTTGTATATCACTGTTTGGTCCACAACCTAACTGTCCGAACCAATTAAAACCCCATCCATAGACACAGCCATCACTCGTGAGAATCATTGTGTGATAATAACCACAACTTATTTGAATAATTGACTTATTATCGAAGTATTTATGATCAATAAGTTCTGGTTCTTTGTATAAGTAATCCGATACCTTGTGTATCATGCCTAACTGTTTCTTAATATTAAGACCCCAACTATAGAGACAATTATCATGAGTGAGGGCTAACACAAAGTCCAATCCATTAAAGAATTGTGTGATATTCTTGTGACACAATCTGTCGATCACTTGGATTTCATTGACATATCGATTGTTACCCAAACCAAGAGATCCGTAATAATTAGATCCCATTCCGTAAACCATGTCATTATTTGTTACAAACAATACATTATATCCTCTTTGGTCATCAAAAACATGAAACAATTGAATCGATTTAATGGCATTTTCTGTTCCAAATTTGACAGCCAAATATTTTGCGAAAAACTTGTATTCATTTTGTTGAATGAGTTTTAGTGTGGAATCAAATGTGGGATCAGTTTTGAGACAATTCTCATGAATAGACCATAAATTATATTCCGATAATACTTTTGAACACTCGTCTCATTCAACAAAATGAATACAAGTTTTTCGCAAAATATTTGGCTGTCAAATTTGGAACAGAAAATGCCATTAAAAATCGATTCAATTGTTTCATGTTTTTGATGACCAAAGAGGATATAATGTATTGTTTGTTACAAATGATGACATGGTTTACGGTTTGGGATCTAATTATTGGGGATCTCTTGGATTGGGACACAATCAATACGTCAATGAAATCCAAGTGATCGACAAATTGTGTCACAAGAATATCACACAATTCTTCAATGGAGTGGAGTTTGTGTTAGCCCTCACTCATGATAATTGCCTATATCGTTGGGGTAATAATGAGAAGGGACAGTTAGGTTTGGCACTCAAGATTACGGATAATTTATATTTAGAACCGGTACCTTTTGATCATACATCCATAGATAAAAAGTCAATTAATCAAATAAGTTGTGGTTATTATCACACAATGATTCTCACGAGTGATGGCTGTGTCTATGGATGGGGTTTAAATATGGACGGACAGTTAGGTTGTGGCCCAGACAGTGATATACGAAAAATGAAACCATTTCGAGTGAATTTCAATCCTAATCACGAAATTAAAAGCATTTATTGTTGTGATTACTCTTCATTTGCCATCACATCTGAGGGACAGGTGTTAAGTTGGGGTGGAAATGATTATTACCAATTGGGACACAAATCATCGGATATTATATGGAAACCACAACTCATTGCAGACATGATTGGTATTAAGACTATCTGTTCCAGTGGTGGCATCACTTACTTCTTATCAAACGATGGATTCATTAGAATTTGTGGTCGATATAGAAATGAATATAACGTATATTTGTTACAAATATCACCAAAAGTAGTAAATACTGATAAGAGGTTTACAGAGATGAATAAAATTATGTCACAGAAGAATAACGAGGCTTTATTTAGAGCAATAATGAATGGAAAAATATATCAAATTACAAACAAACAAAACGATGATATGATTGAAACAAGTTATACAAATTTCTTCGACTGTTTCACAAATGAGTTTCAAATGAGTCATAAAACCATTAATTTGTGTGATTATAAGGAATATAATTATAAGAATTGCGAAGAATTTATTGCAAAATGTTTGGATTATTTGGAAAACATATTTTCTTCTATAAAAGAGTTGTCAAACAATGGTATGAATTGGGTTTATGTGTCTTTCATAGAGTACGTACAGCCAGTTAACTCTCATTATAAATTTAATTTAAAACGTTTTAAACAATTAAGCTTTCTTACCAAATTAGTTGAATTTAGTTTATGCAAAAATGAATAATTAATTAAATTTACTGTTAGCTTCTCACTTATACCCCTCTCCTCTGAATACATACTTTTGAATGACATTTAAAAAAAACTGAATGAATGAATGGATTGATTTCATTTGTTTTATAGTTGTTTCCGAAGTGAATCAATACAACCGTTTGTACGAAGAGTTGCATTCATTAGGTTCGGGAGCTTTTGGGGAAGTATTTGTTGTTAAATGGAAACCTGATGGACGAAAATATGCGGTTAAGAAAATAAAAGTTGAAAGTAAGTTAATGATATTTTAATATATTTAGTATAACTATTATAGTATTAAAATATATTTTATAATAATTTTTCGGTAAATTTCGAAATATTAATAATTATGAAAATTAATACATTTATAGGTGATGACAATTTCAGGGAATGTATGCAAGAAATACAAAAATTGATAAAAGTTAGGTCAGAATATTGTGTCCAATATATCAATCAATGGGTTAAAAACAATGTGTATTACATTCAAATGGAGTTGTGTTCCCATAGTCTTCAGAATATTCTTCAACACAAACCACAAGTATTTGGTCGACAACCGGGAGAACCCATGAATTCAATCGAATTTTACATTTCGTGTCATATATTCNCGGGAGAACCCATGAATTCAATCGAATTTTACATTTCGTGTCATATATTCAAAGAGATCTTAGAATGCGTTCAATATTTACATGAATTGAATCCTCCGGTCATTCATAGAGACCTTAAACCCGACAATATATTAGTGGCGAGGGATGTAAGGAACGGCAGGTATTTAAAAGTTGCTGACTTTGGGTTGGCATCACTGCACTCCAGTTCTTCTGGAACTCATACCACAGGAGTGGGAACTCTTCAATACATGGCACCGGAAGTTAAACTGAAACCTAATTATACACCGAAAGCAGACATTTATAGCCTGGCAGTCATTGCCCACAAATTGTTTAATTTGAATAATTTAACGTAATTATTTTGATTTTTAGTTTATTAACTTAATTCATTAAAATTTATTATTCTTGATTACAGTTCCCCTGTAGAGTTGAATATTTATGCGGAATATGAAATATACGACAAATTCATTAAATTGGATCTAATCTTAGACTCGATGTGTGTTCCCATTCATAGCACTCGACCCGAGTGTTCACAAGTATTATCGGAATATAACTTATGGTCTATTCGTGAGAATTGTCTCAAAACTGATCCCACATTTAATTCCACACTAAAACTCATTCAACAAAATGAATTCAAGTTTTTTGCGCAATATTTTAATGAAAAATACAAAGGAATTGAAGAAAGTATCTTTATCTTTATATTGATCTTTATTGGTTAATAACTTTATTTGCAAATTAGTTAAGATAAATAAGCAAGATTAATCTAAAAATATAGTGAATATTAATTTGATTAACTAGTACACTTTACATTTGTCTCATATCGAACGCTAAATCAAATTATTATTATAATTTAAATTTGAAAAAGTATCCAACAATTAAGCTTGCTAAACTAATTATTTTAATTTAATTTATGCCAAAATGAATAAGTAAATAAATATACTCGTTAGTAAGATTATTACTTATCCCCTCTTCAATGAGTACTATTGAATAACATTTTAACAAAACTGAATGAATGGATTGATTTAATTTGTTTTATAGTTGTTTCCGAAGTGAGTCAATACAAGCGTTTCTACGAAGAGTTGCATTCATTAGGTTCGGGAGCTTTTGGGGAAGTATTTGTTGTTAAATGGAAATATGGTGGACAAGAATATGCGGTTAAGAAAATAAAATATGAAAGTAATTTAATGAAATTTAGATATATTTAGTATAACTATTATAGCATTACAACGTATTATATTGTATTTTTTTTAATGTTTCATAAAATTTCAAATTATTAATAACTAATTCATTTATAGGTGATGATAATTTAAGGGAATGTATGCAAGAAATGAAAAAATTTATAAAAATTAGGTCACAATATTGCGTCCAATATATCAATCAATGGGTTGAAAACAATATGTATTACATTCGTATGGAGTTGTGCTTCGATAGTCTGAAGAATATTCTTCAAAATAAACCCCAAGTATTTGGTCGACAACCGGGAGAACTCATGAATTCAATCGAGTTTTACATTTCTTGCATACATTCCCTTAAATTATCATCACCTATAAATGAATTAGTTATTAATAATTTGAAATTTTATGAAACANAGAGATCTTAGAATGCGTTCAATATTTACATGAATTGAATCCTCCGGTCATTCATAGAGACCTCAAACTCGATAATATATTATTGGCGAAGACTGTACGGAACGGCAGGTTTTTCAAAATATGTGACTTTGGTGTGGCTACTGTTCACAACCACAAGTCCGTCGTCGGAGATGCGGATTATTGTGCGCCGGAAGTGGAGTGGAATGACTACACGTATAACCATATGATAGACGTTTACAGTATTTACAAAATTGCAGAAAAAGATATATTTGGTTATAATTTTGTTTACAAAACGTAAGTAAATTTAAAAGAATTTATTGGTAGAAATGTATTCATATTTTATAACTCCTAAAGGTATTCATCAGATAATGAAATAATAAACAAATGTATCGTTGAATTGAAACGAGTATTGGTTTCTATGTCTGTGAGGGACGACCCAAACGCGAGACCCGAGTGTTCACAAGTATTATCGGAATATAACTTATGGTATGCATTAAAAAACAATCGATATTTGAATAATAATTTATTATTATGAAAAACTTAAAAAAAACTTATTTATTGAAACAATTTATTTAGTAAATTACTATTGATTTGATGGCAGGTTATTAATATATGCGGCTTTAAATACAATTATTATTAAATAATCAATAAAATAATATTTGTTTATAATTTAAAATGTTATTTAATACAAAATTAACTAGCCACAAATATTAATCCGGGTACTTTCATTCTTGTATATATTAATTGCTATTAATTATAGCGTATAATTATTGCCAAATTTCATCAAAAAATTATAACATTTTTGAATACACTATTTGATTGACTATTTTGAAACTTTTATATTTAAGATAAATTATTTATTATAAAGTTCATAAGTAAGTTGAAAAGTAGATCTTTTAGTGGGTCAGTCAATTGGGCTGTAAGTCTATTGGATTGTAGACCATTTAGGTTGTGGGCCTTTTGTGGTATAACCATCCCTTCATATTTTGCATTAAAATAGTCCCCAAAAAACTTGTAATCATTTTGTTGAATGAGTTTTAGTAAAGTGGAGTCTCTTCGACAGTATTAACTGTTGTTAGCCTCCG